ACAGGAAGCGAGTGACCCCGGGAAGCCAGAAAATCGGCTACGAAATTGCCCTCCCGAAAAACATGTCCAATAGTTACCTCTCACTCTAGGGACAGGAACTGCCGAATGGACTTCAAAAGCATACGATGCGGTTGGCTCAAAAGATCCTCCTGTATCAGGGAGACCACCATCACCGAGTCAGTCTGAACCGCGAGCTTTCGAATCCCCATGTCCTAGGCAATACAAAGTCCCTGCTCGATGCCTGCAAGTTCTGCGTGGGTGATTGAACCGTCGCCCAAGTCCGTCGAGAAGGCCCGCAGCATCCGTCCATCTTCTCTTCTTATCAATCCTCCTGCAGCAGCACTGTTTTGAGATAGAAGCACTGACCCATCCGTGTTCAGGCTAGCCCATCCAATCGGCGGACGTTGCCAGCTGATGTTCCTAATGCACCTCTGGCTATGTCCTGCTGTGAAGCTCTGTGACGCCTTAAAAGCCAGGGAAACCTGGCTTCGAAGTAACTTTATACGCGCAGCCAGCTGCATAGGTGCCGCCAATTGTTTCTCAAAAACCCAAGCGGTGCGATTTTGCCACAGTTGCCAGCAAACCTGGGCGAAGGTTGAAGCATCCACAATGGGGCTGCGATCTGTCAAGTAGGGAAGACCCCAACGTGGAATGTCCGCCTGGAAAAAGTCTCGATCGGGTTCATCTGCCAAGAAATGCGACCACACGTCGCGAGCATAAGCATAGTCGCGCATGACATGGATCGAGGTCTCCGGACCTCCTCTGCATATGGGGCACTTATCCGTTGTTGCCAAATGACGACGAAACCTTTCTGCATTCGTAAGTAACCTGTTGTGAAGCGCCAACCAGAACAAGGTTTTTGTTCGTTGTGGCCCCGGGATTTTCCAAACAGCCTTCTAAGTTGGGTTATGTTGTACCTCATCTCCATCTACCCTCATAAGAGCATATGTCGTCTGCAACGTGAATTTGCCTGACTGGGAAAGCCTCCAAGTGGGAATATCCGGGCCCTCCTCGAAAGGTACCGGGTGGAGTTGGAGCTGCGCACTCAGCAGCTCGGGGAGGAAGACACGAACAAACTCCAAATTCCATTGGCCGTTCAAAACCATCTCTGCTACTGTCAAGTCCCTAGCTTTTGCCGGAAGATTAGTTGCGAAATTTTCAAGCGGCGGCCCATCCTGCAACCAAACATCAGACCAAAACCGGGTTTGCATACCACTTCTTATATTCCATAGTGTACCCTCCGACACATAATGGAGCACACGCAAAACACATCTCCAGAGGTTGGATAAACGGCCGGAGACTCGTGGTTGCCAACCCTTCTCCGTTTCTCTGAGATACTTCCCCCGAACGACTCTTGCCCACAAGCTCTCAGGTTCGGTGAGTTGGTGCCAGGCTATTTTTATCATGAAGGCGTCGTTCATTCTTGTCGCGGTGCGCAATCCCAGACCTCCCTCTTCTTTCGACTTGGAAACCGTATCCCAGTCAACAAGGTGGATCTTCCGGGCTTGTTCCAAGCTTCCCCAGATGAAACCCTGATCTTCCTATCAATGTACTCTCGACCCGATGCAGGGAGGAAAGCCGTTTGCATGGTATAAGCCGGCATGGACTATATGTTATTTAGTTAATCCTCGATCAATATTTACTCTCATAAAATTTGATTTTCATTATTTATATTTGAATTAAATATAAAAAGGTAAAGGGTGGATTAAATATCAGCTTAGTTGAACTGCGAAAGTAGTAATAAAGGAGTAGTTGGGATCCCATCGTTAGAATTGTTTGTTATAAATAACTCAATATCCCTATGCTGCCATCACATCTTTTAGCAATTATTTGTTGCATATAAAGATGTGTTTTCAATAGTACATATTTGTTGGTGGTTTTTACATAATAGAACTTCTCCAGATGATTGTAATTGTGCTTTAATCTAGGGTGGTCGAGCAATCACAGTATTATACAACAAACTTCAGCAGAGCTTCAAACTTTTGCAGGATTCATGGGTAAACTATGATTCAATGTATGACTAAATAATAACAATAAGTGAACTACTATGCTGGGATCATTCAATTAAATGACAATTAATTTTTTTTTGTAATTTTACTTGACTTACAACATAACATCAACTATTTAAAAATATGATAACAATTCATAAAATATTTTTTTGTTTGCCAACGAGATAGTGGTGTTAGATTATGCAATTAACTACTTTTAAGAGCTATCATATCTCTTGAATTTTGAAATATTGATATTCAATTAGGTTTATCCAAACTTTCAAGAGTCATAATTATCTAATTATTCAAAAAATATTTGATCCACCAAAATGGTCAAACCCATCCACCATTCGTTGTCACCCACCCATAATGATACTGGGTCATACTTATCATTGGAGTTTCATTTGGGTTTATTCAAATCACAGTAACTTACTGTGGTTTGCTCAAAAGAAAGTAATGTATGCGCGATGTGGTTTACTATGTTAACTTTTAGTTAGCAATTTTGTTAGTAATATTGATTTGACAACATGATACTGACTTGAAAGAGATACATGAAGGTTAATATTGCAAAATTTTAGTATTTTAACTAAAAAAAGAGTTACAAAATTATTAACGATATCGTAAAAATGGCTGATATTTTGATGCATTACGAAAGATTTTGCTAATTAATAGCATTTTAATAAGTTTGGATAATATAAAAGAATCTGAAAATGATTTGAATAAAAAATATACATTACTCTAGTATATTGGTCTTTATTTATCTTTCGTAGAACTCTGCCGACCAATGCTAGTTAGGCTGTCCACAACCCTAGGGCTAAAAGGGCAAAATGCCATTTTAGCATCAATAAATGATCTTCAACCATGAGGCAAGGATATAAGGGGTTTTAGAGGGCTATTTAAGCTCTTCTTTAGGGGGTTTTAAGATGGGCTAAAATGGTGGGGGTTATTTTAGTTTTACTTTGTTTTAATATTTAAATTGAATATGCTTGTGTTGTTGTGACTTGTGAGTGCTTTTAAATAATGAAATTCCTTTCTTTGTAACTTTCAACCATTTAATTGTTGTTTGAAAACATAAAACAAAAAATATTTAAAATTTGGAACGTTCTTCCATTTAAAAAGAGGCATCTCCGAAATTGTTCAAAATCTTGGTCATTTTGATGAATGAAGTTCATTTTGGTGTAACTTTCTTCCACTTCAACTAAAAACAATGTATCTCATAATTTGTTCAAATTTTATCGGAATGTTCGTATTCAATTATTGCGAATGAATATATAAATTTTAAATTAAAACATAAGTTTAACTATTCATAAGTTAGAATTACTTAATACAAAACATAAATTTTTAGTCATCAGGGTTGCAGTTATTTCTGTTTTTGAGGGGCTAAAAAACTAAAATAGCCTTAAAACCCCAACATTTTCTCCCCGGGTTGTGGTTAGCCTTAGTTAGGAATGACAATGAGGCAGGTCCAGGGCGGGTTTCTTGTTACCTAGACCCGTCCCTTGGCAGGTCGAGTCTAGGTCGAGTAATTTAGTACGGACCGCGGGTCGGGGCTGGTCGACCCAATGGGTATGCAATTTATATGAAAAACATTAGAAATATTCGCTATTTTTTTATAAGACCAAGAAAAAAATTAATATTTATGATAAATGTAATTAAATTATTGGAGAAATTGAGGTTTTCAGTATTGTTATAAGAACTAAACCAGATCAACGGCCCGACCAGTAGAACCTTCAAACCAATTACGATAGCGGTCTGGTTAATTGCTTGGACGGTTATTGATGGACCAAACGGTTTTTCATGGTTCAACATAAAATCAGATGAACCGCCACGGTTTAATTGGTCTACTGGATCACTATTTTAACCAAAATAAAAAATAAAAAACATACTTTAACGTAAACTAAGACCATCAAACCATAATTATTAATTTAATATATGTTCCTCTTCTCATTTCAACCTTGTTGTCGACTTTATGTTGTCCACTACTGAATGACATCGTCATTTTTAATTTCAATTTTAAAAAATATGATTTCTTTTGTGAGATGGTTTGAATAACTTTCGAGATGCGTGAATACATTTATTTCAAGATAGATTTCTCGACAAACTAGCGAGGAGTTGACTCCCCAGGAAGGGACAAAGAGCAACATACTCCGCTTTGATCCCTACCGCTTGAAGTTCAATCCCCGTCGTTCTCCCATCAATAAATGGACTATTTGTTTCGGAGACAGAACCATCGAAAGGACTCGGAGACCAACCAAAGCACGAAAGTCGGGATCTTTCAGAAAATGGATTCCTATTCGAAGTGTGCATAACCGCAGTCTAACGCTGACAAAAGCCCCTACCCAAAGAAGTGCAACATGAGAAGGAGCTTTTTCCGTTACTAGGAACAAGAACAAAGAAAAGCAAGAACCACTTAAATTGAGGGTTAATTGCATGGTTGGTCACTGAGATTACAAAAAATGTTCAAGTTTGGTCATTCGAAATATTTAAGTCCATTGGTGGTACTTCAGTTTACTGAAACCGTTCATGTTTGGTCACTCTCCGTCCAACTCTGTTAACTTTTACTGATGTGGCAGTCAACTCTAAAAGTTGACCGTTAACATAGTAACGTGGCAACTAAAAAATTATTAAAAATAAAAAGCAAACTTTTATATTTTTCACCTCATTATTACATTCATTAAAAAATAAATGTTGAATCAGCGGCCGGAAATTGATAGCAAGGGAATCAATTAATTGATAAAAAGTAATTTATTATTTATTTTATGTGTTAAAAATTTAAATGTTGATGTTATTTGTTGGATTCAAGTACAAATATTTAGGTATTGACGTTAAATGTCGTGCTTAAATATGAGTATTTGTAAATTATATGTAATATTAACCGGCATAAACCAACACAAATCCGATATGTACTACCGGTTGAACCATTCCACTTGCTAAACCGGCACACTGGCACAAACCGGTTTGACAACCTTGGGTAAAACACATCAAGTCTTGTCATCACTTAAGTAAGTGAATAACAACCCTCGATTCTTTCCCCTGCTCGTGACTGCAACGAACGAGTTCTCCGTCCATGGAAGTTCCGATGGATGAGGAAACAAGCCCTAGATTCTTTGTGGCTGTCCACGTTGGGGCCGGGTATCACGCTCTTTCGAGTGAGAAATCTCTGAGGTCCGCCATGAAACGCGCTTGCATTGCTGCTGCTTCTCTACTACGCCAGGTCCGCCTCTTCTCTCATTGCCGACCCCGGTCTCTAGTTACATACACATCGACAATCTCCGCTCTCTCGTTTTTTACCGCATGAAAGAATTAGTATAAAGGTTTTCTCTTTCTAATTCTGCAGTTTGCTAGAAGAAATCATAACTCCCCGGTCGTTCCGCTATTTGTTGTTTTGTTTTAGGGTTCTGGGAGTGGGAGATGTATCGATGCTACCACTGCAGCTATTAAAGTATTGGAGGTAGTTACTGCTTCTTTGTTTTCCTCATTTGTTTGTAGAATTTAAGCAAATGATTTGCTGAAGGTTTCTCATTGATTAGTATGTGATGGATGGATGATTATGTGATTTCTAAGGATGATCCTTGTACAAATGCTGGCCGAGGTTCTAATCTGACGGAAGATGGCCGGGTAGAATGTGATGCCAGTATCATGGATGGTGATTCTGGCGCATTTGGGGCTGTTGGAGCAGTGCCAGGTAGTTTATTTGGCTGCCATTTCCTCAAAGGCTTTCAACTGTAGTGCTGCTAACGTTTTGCATGAAGTTACTTACTGAATGGTAATATTTACTTAGTTGTAGACCAGGTGTGAGAAATGCCATAGAGATTGCCGCCTTACTGGCCAAGGAGCAGTTGACGGAGTCCTCATTGTTGGGTCGAATACCTCCCATGTAATTCTTACCTCTTTCTCTTCCTTCTCCTTTTCTTGATATTTCGTGTGTTTATTTTTTCCTCAAATGAGATGTCATTGGGTTACATGGATTATTCATCAAACGCTAGATTCTTATTTGAAGTATTCAAGACGGACCTTCCTATTAGATTATGGGAATCGTCTTGTTGTACATGTTTAGTTGAGTATGTGAGATACTAATTGTAGCTTGTATACCAAATGAAATGCCTTAAATTAATGAAACGAATCGAATCGCTTAACTTAGGATTTTGTGACTGCTAGGTTTTTGGTTGGTGAAGGTGCCCGAGCCTGGGCTAGATCGAAGAACGTTCTTTTAGAAGACACTGTGGATGAAGCTGAGAAGGTTCTATTGGACTCTGTGCCCTTTTTACTTTTATCTGTACTGAAACATAAAATGTGAAAACAATTGACTTGTCTCTCGAAACAGTGGCTAGTAACGAAAAGGGCAAAAGTACAGTGGCAAAAGTTCAAAGAAATGCTGCGTACTGCCACCACTCTGACTGATGCAACCAGTGAAAAAGAGTCTGGATATGTATCAGGTATCCTATTCTATTGCTCTCGCTAGCGTCTTCCTATAAATTGAAGCCTGAGCTCTAGCCGCTTACCATCTCCCAAAATTTTCATTGAATCGGCAGTTCCTGAAACAGTTAGTTCCGAAAGGCCAATCTGAATTATTTTGGCACTCTTATAATCAATTGTCAGGCGTTGGTTAAGTAGTTGGCAAGTGATGCTAGTCATACAGTTCACTCGTTTCGCTTTTTAGATTCTTCAGTAATCTCTTTTGGATTTGTCCGTGTTTATTGATCCTTTTATCATCTTTATCATTGTTTTGGGATAGTCATACAGTTCACTCGTTTCGCTTTTTAGATTCATCAGTAAATCTCTTTTGGATTTGTCCGTGTTTATTGATCCTTTTATCATCTTTATCGTTGTTTTGGGATAGGCCATAACATTATTGAATACCCAGTATTCTGTTGATTGAAGTGGGATGACGCCTTCTCTGTTTTCCTGGACCAGGAACTAATTCTGTGGACACTTCAGGGGTACCTGGGGGTGCCTCATCATCTGTTCCAACTTCTGAAGAAGACTCTGTAATGGACACTGTTGGGGTTATCTGTGTCGACAGTGAAGGGCACATAGCTTGTGGAGCTTCTAGTGGCGGTATAGCCCTCAAGGTACTAGATGGTGGCTATAATTTCATTTGATAATTTTTTCAATTTCTTAAAGGTGCAAATAATTGTACAAGTAGCAAAAAATTGATGATATCAGGTTGGAGGGCGCGTTGGTTTAGCTGCAATGTATGGCTCAGGTTGCTGGGCGTCATCGAAAGGTCCCTTTGGTTCTTCGTTCATAGCTGGCTGTTGTGTTTCGGGTGCTGGTGAATCCCTGATGAAAGGACTTGTGGCTCGGGAATGTTGTGTCTCCTCAGCAACGTATGGTTTTGACATTTGGATTTAGTCATTTGCTTATGCTAACTTGACAAAGGAAGTGAGAATAGATGATTGTAATTATTATTCACATGCTAATGACTAATTAGGCATTCGTGGTAAAAGATACCCTGCATGAATGTGCATGTTAACCGAATTAAATTTTGATTTCAAACGAATTTCAGAAGAATTTGACTAGGTGTTGCTCTAAGAGACGAAGACAGAGTTAGGCAACTTCGATTTACGAGGGATAAAGTGCTATGATGGCTTTTGTTTATGTGCTTTCCATTACATATTTTAACTTTAATATAGAGACTTCGTCTTATTAGTTGCTAGTTTGGGCGTGTAATTATTATTATGAGCCTGACAGACCATTGTACTTAGTTCTCAGGCTGGTCCTGCATCTGCTAGCATAAACGTTCTGCTGTCACTGAATCCAAACAGCAACATCACTCAAGCTGGTGGAAATATAAGTTCAGGAGTTCTAATGGTGCAAGCCGATGCACCTGCTGTGGTGAGTTGCTGACTCAAGCCATGTTTGTTTCTTCCGTACATTCTATGATGTAGTTGCTGATTGGTTGATTTAGACTCCAGGCAGTACAGCAAAGCTTAAAGCCATCGACATAGCAGCTGTATACTCTTCCTTGTCTTTTGGAATTGGATATCTTGGGAACTCAATGGAACGGCCAAAGGTATCACCTTTTTTTTCCCTTATCTTCTTTACCTCCTTTTAGTGATGGAGAAAGACAAAATCGTTTAATTTGCTGAAGCAGTTGCAAGTTGTGATGAAGCTGTCATCCACCAACGATTTTGTAGTGAATAACATTCGCAGGGGACATAAATAGTACTGACTGCTCACTCTTATGTCAAGATCAATGAACCTGGAATTTATCATCTTAGATAATCCATTAAATATCTTTTAGTGAATAACATTCTCCGGAGACATCCTGCAGGCATCAGTTCTACGACGCACAAAACAACAGAAAGAGCTAGGAATTGACCATTTTGAAGCACGAATCCACCTTTCTTCCAACGGATCGTAGATTCTTAGTAGCTAAACTTGACAGTGTTGAATTTCCTTTTGTACGAAACTCTTTCCGAGTAATTTATGGAATGGAAGACTAGCAAGTACTATTTCTGTGTAATTTATGGATCGAAATGAGTAGCAATTACTGCTCTGAAGTTGGAACTCCTTGTAAGATGACTAGAAAACTGAAAATATTGTACCTGGGCGGACTTGGACACACCAACCCCCGCCCGAAAATTTTGTATAGAACTTTTTTTTTTGCTATAAAAATTCTAATTTGGGAAATTGTCATACTGTTCCGTTAATTATTTTTTTTTGTCGAGAACGGGCGCTTAAAGGGCGCCCCAACCTTTATGCATTAAACCAACCGGTGCGTTTGAATCCCAACTCGATCAAAGTACAACCAGTACATCAACATAGTACTGGGAACATAGAAAACATGCATTCCTACAGAAAGGGAGTGCCCAAGAGAGGCTAGATAATTAGCTACATAGTTTGCCTCACGGTACATATGCTCAATCTTGACCTGCCAAGGTCTTTCTAGCCAACAACGAATCTCAGCAACACTCGTGTAATGTGGGTGGTTGGTCGTTGCAGAGTCAATGAGAGTGATCGCCGTGTTGGAGTATGTCTGAAGAATCACCTTCCTAGCCCCTTCTTCCCAGGCAAGCTTCAACCCATGCACAATTCCAGCCAGCTCTGCTCGGGTGATTGAACCCCCTCAAAGGTTCGCTGAAAAGGCTTTAACGAAGTGGCCATCATCTCCCCTCACGATTCCTCCACATGTTGTGCTCTCGTGTGCTTGTATCACTGAGCCATCGGTATTCACGCACAACCAGCCAGCTTGAGGTGGTTGCCAGCTAATGAGGCGTCGTTCCCAGAGTCCCCCGGCTCCGAAAATGCGAGTCTCCTACTCAAAAGCAGTGTGAATCCTATGCTTGAGCTGCTTTGCGTCGAACTGAATTTGTGCATAGGTCTTCAACTTACCTTCGAATAGGAGGCTATTCCGATTTTTCCAAAGTAGCCAACACGTACCTGCAAACAGGGTAAGGTCAACCACATTACTACGACTAGATAGGTAGTGAAGAGACCATCGCTTCATATCCGGCTCGAAGAAACTGCTATCGGGCTCGCCATCCAGAAACTCCGCCCACACCGCTTTCGCAAAAGGGCAGTCTCGAACGATGTGCATGGCTGCTCGCTGGATCCACCGCAAATTTTGCAGAAGCTGTTCTCCGTCAGGTGTCGTCGGTGGCGTTCAGCATTTGTCAGCAGCCTATCGTGAACCATCAGCCACAAGAACGTCCGGACGCGCTGCATGGTGGGAGTCCTCCAAATCGTGCGCCAGGCTGGGTGTCTGTCGCTGCTTTCAGCTCCACTATCTAGCAGCTCGTACGCCGTCTTCAAAGTGAAATCGCCAGACTGAGAAAATCGCCATACTTTCACGTCGTCTTCTAGCTCCGCCGGGATCGAGTGTAGTTCAACCTACGAAACAATGTGGGGAGGGAAGTACACATTTAGAAAGTCCCTGTTCCACTCACCATTTAGCACAAAATCGGCGACAGACATATGCAAGCACTGCTCCGGTAGATTAGGTGCAGAATCTTTGAGGAGCAATTCATCTGCCATCCACCGGTCGCTCCAAAACCTGGCCACCCTTCCATTTCTAATGTTGCAGCTTGAAGCCTCTTCTACCAGGTGCATCACCATCAACACACCCCGCCAAAGGTTAGATAGCCTCCCTGTCGTCCGAGCCACCAATCCCTCCTTAGTTTGACGAAAATATTTCGACCGGATCACTTTGGCCCACAACTCATTTGGGCTCATGAGCAAACGTCAAGCAATCTTTAGCATATATGCCTCGTTTGTCTTCGTAGCATCTCTGAGCTCCAACCCTCCTTCCGCTTTCGGCCTGCATGGGGTCTCCCAATCAACAAGGTGAATTTTTCTCCCTTGGTCTGTACTTCCCCATACAAAAGCCCAAATCTTCTTATCGATATAGTCACACACACTCGCCGGGAGAAATGCTGTTTGCATAATATAAGCTGGGAGGGAGGAGAGGACCGAGAGCGCTAACGTAATCTTGCCCGCCAGTGACAACGTAGAGGCTTTCCATCCTGCCAGTCTCGAGTCTATTTTATCTATCAATTCCGTGTAAGTAGCTTTTGATACCCGATCATCGATATAGTCACCCCAAGTACCTTCCCAGATTAAATGTCTCGGGGATCCCCAGAGCTTCACTCAAGCTATGACGAGTGTGAGGCAGTACATTAGCTGAGAAAAAGACCCGGGATTTCGGTTTGCTGATCTGTTGGCGTGAAGCTCCTCCAAATCTCAAAACAATTTAGCATCACTTGCACCTGTTCCAACGTCGCCTCCCCAAACAGAATAAGGTCGTCAGCAAAGAACGAGTGGGACAAACACGGCCCAGAGCTCACAAGCTTGATCAGTTTCCACTGGCCATTCGCCACAGAGTCATCGATCAAATGCCCGAGCCTCTCCATGCAGAGTGTGAAGAGGTATGGCGAAAGCGGGCAGCCTTGACGGAGACCCCTCGAAGGATAGAAATGCTCTGTAAGTCCACCATTCCACTGTATCTGCATGGCAGCTGACGTAATACAATCCATCTCGAGCTCCACAAATTTGGGAGGGGCGCCTGCTGCCTGAAGCGTATCTCTAACAAACTCCCCCCTGATCCGGTCGTAGGCTTTAGCCAGGTCAATTTTCAACGTCATCTAGCCTTTCCGACCCTTTCTCGCTCGCATAGAATGAACTACATCTTGCAAAATGCAGATGTTGTCAGCTATATGGCGCCCAGGCACAAAGCTCGTCTGCGTTTCATGAACCAGTGATGGCATCTGCTCTTTCAGTCTTTCCGCCAAGCACTTAGTAACCACTTTGTAGGTCACATTACAGAGGCTTATCGGCCTGAACTGCTCGATAGATGAGGGTTGGGCCACCTTTGGGATCAGGACCAGAATGGTGGAGTTCACTTCCTTGATTCTGTTAGCACCTCTCAACACTCCTGTGCCAATCTACCCAAAGATTCTCCCACCATGGACCAACATTTCTGAAAAAACAGCGGATTGAGGCCGTCTTTGCCTGGAGCCTTTAAGGCCCCCATAGATCGGATAGCCAAACGCACTTCTTCAAGCGTGATCTCCTTGCTCACCTCCTCCCATTTCTCGGGCGCAATTGGCGGAAAGGCAGCCTGAATGTGCTGTAGCTCTCCCCCTTCATCAGTATAGAGCCATTGGAAAAAGGCTCTTGCCATTTCTTGTAGCTCTGCCGGATCATCTACCCACTCACCCGCCGCATTTTTAAGGAGGGTTATCCGATTCTGCTTGCGTCGATGGAGTGTACGAGTATGGAAGAATTTCGTATTTCGGTCTCCAGATATAATCAACTCTAGGCAAGCTTTTGGCACCAGGTCACCTCCTCCTGTAATAGCACTGACTCGAGCTCTTCTCTCACTTGGATTAGTTCCTGGCTTTCGATCACCCCTCTCCCACTTCGCTCCAGCCTTTCCAGTTTATTTAGCAACTTATCCTTCCTTCTCTGGATATGTCCAAACACACTGCGGTTCCAGACCTACGCATCCCAGGCTAGAGCTTCGGCTGAGTCGGTGAACTGCACTCATTTAGCCTAGGAGCTAGCTAACATTGGCAGAAAGTCTTCGTGCATAGTCCAAGCCGTGAGGAAACGAAAGGGTTTACGACCCCCCGGCTGAACGTGCACCTGAGTAGACAGCAAGATTGGGCGGTGATCCGATCTAACTCGAGGAAGGTGGCGGATTGTCGAGTCTGGAAATACAGTGACCCATTTAGTATTTTCCAAGCCTCTGTCTAACCTCTCCCGCAACCCCCGAAGACACCACGTGTACGCTGGTTCAGTAAATCCAATATCGACAAGCCCTGTGTCATTTACACAGTCCTGAAAATCTCGTATCCGCGAAGCATCAAAGGGGGCGCCGCCCAATTTCTCCTCGGGGTTGAGAATAGAATTGAAATCTCCTATTAACAGGCAGGGGTGGTCTTGGTCCTCTGCTAGCTCACTAATCTCCTCCCAAAGTTGCCGCCTTTGAATTGGCGCCGGATTTCGATAGACAGCGGATAGCACCCAGGCCGGATTACTAGAGTTTGGTACCTGTACCTGTACCCCCCCGAGAAACCTTGAGCATCAACAATAAAACTGCTGTCATAACACATATCCCTTACAATCTCATTCACTAGATCCCCACTAATGCGAGGTTCCACTATAATCACAATATCCGGGACGATGTCTCTGACGATATTTCTTAAAGACTCTAAAAAAACTATGGCTACCCGCACCCCTACAATTCCAAGAAAGAATCTTAAAATCCATAAAAAGAATATTGTAAGAAGCGACTCCCTTGATTAATTCTCGGACGGAGAAGCCCCGTCATCGTCGCACATTTGTTCCTCGGTTAGGCTTACCCCACCGTCCGTAGCACTTGGAGATGCTGGTGAGGTTCGATCGTTTGGAGGCCTCCCTAGCTCCTGCGCTAACTGCATGCTACTCTGCTTGCCATGCAGAACAATACCCGGAGCAGAAGCTTGGGTTGTCGCTTGCAAGTGCATTGTCATATTCTCCTCCATATTCTCCGTTATGGCTGCGGTCTAGTCGCTCATTTTTGTATTTTCCCAGAGCAGAGCTGTCAACTTGCTTATGAAACATCTTGAGGCTTTCGCGGGTTTGGGCTTCTCCGGCCTACAACGGTTTTCCTTTCACTGCTGTTGGATTTGGAGCAGTAGCTTTAGCCTTCCCACTATGTCCTTTCTTGGGTAAATCCCTTCCCCTGCTTTGGGCCGATGTTTTGTTTCCTTGCTGCACAGCCCATGAAGACTCCTCAAGATCCTCATTCGTTGTTCCCTCGTCATTCTCAGTTTGAAGAGCTTGGAATCGGGACCCCGAGCTGTTATACTCACCCGGAGCTCCTTGTCTCGCAGGGGGGACATTTCACCACGTGATGGACTGGTTGCATCAGGTCTTCCCTTTCACAATTTGCGCTTGGCGATCATCCATTCACCGTAGATTTTCTCCGGTTGTGGTGTCTCGGTCTCTTTGAGAATGTTCACAGTCTCATCCTCCATGGGTTCGGCCGGCTTCGAGCACTGGCAGGGGCCTTGGGTCGTGTACCTTCCACACTATAAGCAAGTCCGCTCGAGGCCCTGGTATTGTATAAAATACCTTTTCTCTTGTATCCGAAATTTCGAAAGAAGTGGTTTTGTTAGGTCAACTTGAACACACACCCTAGCATAATCACTTCGAGCACCTGTCCGAGTTGCCTGATCGACCCTGATCGGCTTCCCAATTCGACGTCCAATTTTCATGACAACCTCAGGATGAAAATACTATATCGGAATCTCGAGAAGGCGTGCCCAAACAAGAGTCGATGAGATTTCATGTTCATATGGGTTGAAGTTGTTGTCCCACATGTGCACTGTCAAGTAGTTCTCTCCCATCATCCAAGGTCCCCCCGTAATCGCACGTTCGTAATCAATGCCGCTGGAGAACTGTACTAGAAAATAGCCCTTCTTACGTCACCTGAATACTACCAGCCTTAGCGCAGATCGAGTTCAAGCGTTTGGAGATGGTAGTATACGAAGTTGAACGTCCCAGAACTTTAACCACAAGTGCTGATCTCAATGGGCGGCAGAATTGTCGCTCTTCTGCATCAGAGAATTGGATCGGCGGACACAACGGGTCATCTTCCTCCTCGGGTTCGGCTTCCCGCCCATCCTCTCTCATGGTCGCCGCTACATCCTCCGAGTCGGAATCAGCGACATTCCACTCATCGGTCTTCGCAAAGTCACCAAACAGGCGACGCGTTGCCCCCATACCATGGCTCCATGCAGAGACTTTGGGGCTCTGAGTCGCAGGTGGTGTCAGAACGTTTGCGGCAGGCTCCATGTTAATATCATTTGGATTTTCGACGGAGATATCAACAGCCACCGTCGGCTTGGCTCTCTTCTTCGTCTGTTGAGCTTCCCTATCCCCCTTCGGATTCGGGGACGAGGAATCAGTTGGAGGTCTTCTTTGGCCTGAGAGGAGGTCTGCAATGTTGCTTCCCCCTTCGGTCGGCGGCTCAGACAGCGTCGCCATGGAGGCGTGAGAATGGTGTAATCCTAAGAGCGCAAGTTTCCCTTCCTATTTTCTCGGAGAGAAGTCGGCTTTACTGTTCCGTTAATGATTGTGTATCGATTATAATTAACGGATTATAATAGATGACTGTTCCGTTAATTATAATCGATACACAATCACTATACTGGAAGAACTTTGTTGCAATAAATTTTTTCATCTTAATTTTGATATGAGCAATAATTTTTTTTTTTTTGGTTTGTTTAAAATAACTTATAATCCCATCACTATTAAAAAAAAGGTCACCACCAATTGAAAGTTGAAACACTGCATTTCACCCTCAACCTAGGGGTGAAAGTTTGGTTTGTGAGTTACAGGTAACTCGCAGACTTAGTGGATATCTATACCTATGTCACAATTTGTGGATAGTGGGTTGGATGTAGTTGTTACAGGTAACTCGCAAACTTAGTGGATATCTATACCTATGCCACAATTGTGGATTGTGGGTTAGATGTAGTTAGTAAAATATTGAATTTTTTGGTTAGTGGTTAATCACTACTCCCAGCGGTTAACCCACAATAATCACAGTGGTTTTATTCATTCATTCATTCATAATACTTCGTGAAAAGTGGAGGGCTAAAAACTACTGAATTGCTATTTGTAGTCCTAACTTTTCTTTATTTGTAGCCCTAGACTAATTGAATTACTATTTTACCCTTCTCTTTTTTTTTTCAAATTCAAATTTTGTATAAGAATCCAACCAAACATTCCCTTCCCTCCCAACATCCAACATTTGCCGGTTTTCTCCCAAATAATGTCGCCAGAGACGACATCTCGCCGAAGACGACGACAACTCGCCGGAGAGGACGACTTTCGCCCGGAGACGACAGAGAGCAGTGTCGCGAGAGATTTCTCGCCGGAGACGACGACATCTCGCCGGAGAGGACGACTTTTCACCGGGAGACGACGGAGAGCAGTGTCGCCGGAGATTTTGGAGACGAGCGTCACCAGAGAAGAGGAGAGTTGCGTCACCGGAGAAGACATCAGAGCCTTGCCAGAGAAGACATCAGAGCGTCTCGCCGGAGAAGAAGACTCGTCGTCGAAGGTATATATGACTTTTGTACGAAGGAACGCCAGCGACATCCTGTCTAGACGTCACCGGCCAGGACATTTATCCATCGCCGGTGACGTCTAGACAGGACGTCACCGTCGCTGGCGGATGGTCAAACGGTCGTTGACCTCGTCGTCGGCTTGCCCAACGGCGGTTTGACCAGCCGCCGACAACGATGAGGTCCTGTCCAGGCGTCGCCGGTAATTTTTTTTTAATTTAAATTATTATTATTACTAAATTTGTTTTATATTAGGACTATTATTAGTAAAATTTGCTCAAGGATATAATTTATTGTTATTAATTAGTTTTATATCAGAGTTAATTGGTGTTATTATTTATAAAATTTGTTTCAATTTGGATTTAGATTACGAATATTTGGTTGTATTGATTAATAAATATACGAAAGTTTAATAATTTAAATATAGAAATTTATTTCATGAAAAGTATTAATTGTAGTACGAACCTTAAATTATAATTGAAAATTTTATTAAGGGAGTGCTTTGTGGAGAATGAGCATCGTAAGGAAGCAGAGAATGAGCATCGACGTGCAAGGCTTGTGGAGAATCCTTCTTCCCCGGTCCCCGTGCCTTTTGACTTAGACACAACTTTTGAGGGAGTGGCTAAGTATGATGGTTGTGATGACAATTATGATGACTTCCCGGATGTGAATGAGGCTTTCTTCGAGGGCAACCATTCGAATGCAGGTGGTTCTAGTGGACCTAGATTAGAGCTCGAGGTTTCTTTTGTGTCTTCTTCGTCCTCTAAGTTTGTTCATGTTAGACGTGAGCCTCGTGGTTGTTTTGAGTCATCACGAGCCGATTCGGAGGAGGGTAGCACTAGCAAGAGGAAGAAGGCGAGAGAAGGTGATTCGTTGATTCTTGATAGGAGTGGGCCAGGGGGGCCAATTGATCCTAGCCTGATTTTTAGTTTTGGAGGTCATGTGGCTTATCGATTATGGGATGAGTGTTTAGGGGCTCGCCGAATGGATTCATTCAAGTTGTCGATTAAAGCATTAACAACCAATTCTTTGAAAGATTACAAATTCCAGAGTCAGGGTGGTGCATCGTTGGTTGAGAGGACATGGTTGCGCAAGTTGTTGGATGCTCGATCCAGCACTTGGACGGACCATTCCTTGTGGCGTTTGTGGAGAGGTGGCAGCCAGATACCAACATTTTTCACATGCCTTTTAGAGAGACGACCATCATACTCCACGACGTTGCACTGCTTCTCGGGATTCCAATCGATGGACATATGGTTGTAGGGAATAAGAGGGTGAAAGCATAGTTGTGTGAGATGCTGAGGGTCTCACAATTGAGTGAACGATCCAAGCCTTTGCTTAATAGTGGGGTTTTGGTTTGTGTTGAAGCTATGCAGCAGGTTGGAAGGTTTCGGGAAAGGGATTCTGAGGTACGGATGTTCTTGTCCTATTTGTTGGGGACCACCTTGTTTGTGGATAGGAGTGTAGAGATTTGGCGCAGATTTGGCCACTCTAGTTCTTGGGGGACCTTAGACTGGTGATGAAATATTGCATTAGTTATCGAATAACATACTAGCATTTACATTTTTTATACACTTAGCTGTGAAGCTCGTCTGAGAGTTTCGCACTGTGATTGAGAACCCTTATGATGACCACACTAATCTTGTTGGGTTACAAGGGTTGCTTACAGAGTACGACGAGACGACTCCATACCAGCCTCTACCTCAGTACTAGTGTTGTTCATGTAGTTTGTGGACTATGTAGTTTATTTGTATTTTGAGAACTATGTTGTTTATTTGTAGTTTGAGGATTGTGTCATTTATTTGTAGCTTTAGGAGTATGTTGTTTGAGAACTATGTCGTTTATTTGGTGTTTGAGAACAATGTCATTTATTTGTTGTTGAAGGACTAAATCGTTTATTTGTTGTTGGAGGACTATGTCGTTTATTTGTGGTTTGAGAACTATGTTGTTTATTTGTAGTTTGGGAACGAGTGTCGTTCACTCGGTACTTTATTTTTATGTTTAGAACTATGTTAGTTTTAATTTAAAACTATGTTTACCAACAACTACAAATACAAAGATAAGACGAGTTACAAAATACTTCTTATTTACAACTATTGTCGTTATATACCAATACTACTACAAATATCTTCTACTAGTCATGATGATCCCCAAGTACGAAGTAAAGAGCTCACTCGTCCTCGAACAAATGCTCCCACCCTTGAGTAGGGATGGAAACAAAACCCGAACCCACGGGTACCCACCCGACCCAACCCGGTCAACGCTGGTAAAACCCGTGTTGACGGGTTTTGGGCCGGGTTCAGGTTTAAACCCGCTACACTATTCACCGGGTCGGGTTGGGTTTGGGTTTAGGTAAACCCTCCCCATGGGTACCCGCCCACACACATATAATTACTTTCCCGGTATATTTAATATTCTAAATAATATATCTTCCTTAAACAACTAATATTCTTTATGTTTGTGGAGACATGTATAATTTGTTCTTTCTAATTGTTTAGAATGAAGTTGATATTATGAAGTGGAGAGTAGGGGTGTTCAAATGGTTACCATGGTTATAATCAAACCAAATAAGGCTAAATTCCATTAACCATGGAATACAATATCATAACCAAACCGTCTAAACCAATACAACAACCAAATTAACCAAACTAAAGTTTAATCGATTTGGTTAATTGGTTAACCAGATTAACCAATATAAAATCACATTATCATTGACGATGAAAATTTTCTGGTTAATGCTACAATTCACAATTTATATAATGAATAAAACATAACAATCAACACGTAGTTATAGTTGACCCTTAACAAAAATACATGCAACTAAGACAATTATCTTACGATTAGTATAGAAGTATTCACCTAACAAAAAATTATGACAATGGTATGGGTTAATGAATTGTTGTGTTTGTGTAAATTGACTTAGTCTCTTAGCAATTATCATAGGCTGGAAATGACCTTCCTTTCAAGTTTTCATTCATCATAATGTATGAAATTTATCTAAATTAGGCGTCCATATGTTGTGGTCTAGACTTTACATATACAAATATACACTATATGAGCAATATTGAGCTTTATATTTTATGAGTCTAAAAGGGATGAACGTTAACTCTTGAGTGGTTATGCTATGCAAAGTATTATGTGTATATAATAATATGTTAGATATATGACTAATTACTTAACTGGTTAATTTGGTTTGACTGGTTAGGAGTGTCTGAAAACGAACCAAACCACCTAAACCAAACAAGCTAAAAACTTTAACCAAACCAAACCAATTATCCAAATTAACCAAACCAAATTATCCAAATCGTACCGGTTAAAACGGTTACCACGGTAACCAAACCGTTTGAACACCCCTAGTGGAGAGTGAGTGAAGAAACTTAGTTGACGAGGAAGAAGCTTTCAATTAATCTTATTGTTTATAGATGTTTACCTTTAATTTTGAACAATTTGTAGTGATCATTTGCGGTTTGCTTGTATGCTCTAGATTGGTGTTTTTGGTATGAATAATTTGTATGAGAAAATTGATGTTAAACTTTTTTTTTTGAAAGAAACTTGTAATTGTAAATTTTTTACCACAAAAACCCACGGGTACCCAGCGGGTTGGGTTGTGTTTGAGTTTTTCAAACCCAGCGGGTTTCACCCCGGGTTTTTTTTGGCGGATAAACCCATGGGTATTGGTTTGGGTTTGACAAAACCCGCCCCAACCCGACCCATTGCCATCACTACCCTTGAGTACTCATTTTTGTCTCGGAAATGGGTCTACAAGAAGGTGAATGGAGGCATTGGTATTGAATCCTCCTCAAAGTCAAGGCGCACCCAATGGTTGCCGGATTTAGGGCGAGCTACCCCCGACTTGGCTATCATAGGTAAAAATGTTTGTCCAAATGGAACACTCGTCACCCCATCTTTGGTATCGTCGATTTGACTGTAGAGGATTATGACCCAGTTAAATAATGTTGCAGCTACGGAAAGATCCAACTCATTCATCCAATGATCCATTGTAGTACCCTCTGTCTTGTTCCATTGTAATTGTGTAAGATCAAGACCCACACCATCATATGCGTCCTTACATTGTTGGATCGACATGACTTCACTATAATAGCCTTTCACACCCACAAGTGGTGGTCCTCATCTCCATGAAGTGCATGCGAGAGAGCCCGAAATCCGCAATCGCCATCCGGAGCAGGGTCCCACCAACGAAGACATCGATCTCTGACACTTTATGGAATGAAGCGAAAGTAAGGAAAAACATTCACTCCATCAATCTTGTGCATGGGTTCCCTTTTCGGGCCACCTGTGGATGTAGTTTTTTTAGCTAGCTTATTGGCATATTAAACATACTTATTGAATATCAATGAATATAACAAAACAACTCAAATTATTCAATACAAACCTGTATCATCTGAGGTTGTTGCTTTTCTCTTTCTGTGGACGGGAGCTTCCTTCGGGGGCACCTGTTGGTGAAAATTTTGTTGTAATTAGCTTATTGGCATGTTGAACATACTTATTGAATATCAAGATATTTAACAAAACAACTCAAATTATTCAATACAAACCTATATCATCTGAGGTTGTTGCTTTTCTCTTTTTGTGGATGGGAGCATCCTTCGGGGCACCTGTTGGTGAAAATTTTGTTGTAATTAGCTTATTGGCATATTAAACATACTTATTGAATATCAAGGGATTTAACAAAAAAACTCAAATTATTCAATACCAACCTGTATCATCTAAGGTTGTTGCTTTTCTCTTTGTGTGGATAGGAGCACCCTTCGGGGCATCTGTTGGTGAAAATTTTGTTATAATTAGCTTATTAGCCTATTAAACATACTTATTGAATATCAACGGAACAAAGTCATTCAAATTATTCAATAATAACCTGTATCATCTAAGGTTGTTGCCTTCCTCCTTGTGCTCCTTCTAACTTGGCGTGCAGCGGCGTGCTCATGCCAAGAAGGATCACGAGCATTTTCCCTTCTAGGTGCCCGACCTTTTGCCTTCGTAGACACTCGTGGCTCCCTAAGGTATTCCTCTTAGAGGTAAAGCTGACTCATTAATGCGACCTTGGATGCTCGAACTGCAGACGGACCACGCCTACACACCTCAGCCACTAGATCATGAAAAATTTGAAGATCAATGGTGTCATTGTCTTCGAACCGTCTTGCATCGTGAGGGTTAACGTAGTCCAAAGTAGACCAGAATGGTGCCAAGTGTACTATCTAAAACTGGTATCCCGCTCCTTTAAAGGATTTGATTAGACAACTGCATGGTAGCCCATGTGTCATCCCAATCACACAATCACATTCCAAAGGAGTCTTTTTTCCCTCTACAAACATCAACTCAATCGCATATAGGCTTACACTTCCCCTTATAACTCCGTAGGGTGGTCCCTAGGCTCCTTTGAATGTCTTTGTTCGACATGTCTCTAGCTCTTTCCTATTTTCGATCACTTGCCCCCAATGCTAGCATGCCATGATAAAAATAGTGTATCAACCCCTCAGTCAAAGTGTTTAGCCAAGGTTTGAGAGTAGAGTGAGCCGATTCAACCATGTTTGTACTTGTGTTACCAATATGAAAAATATTGTAAGTGTAAGCACAAGCCCACTTCTCTTTATGCTCTAAACACTCACGATCCAAGTATTCTATCAACCTACTATTCCTCCCCCAAAATCCATTTTTGAAATTTTCTCATTCCTCAATCATAGCATGTGGCGTGGTGGCTTCTATCACCTTCTTCCAAGAACCATTTACCACTCCTCGAGCAACTTCTTGTGGTTCCGCTTTATGTGCCATATACACAACAAGTGAGCGGATTTCGAGAATACCTAAGGGATAGAAGCAACCAATCCTCCCTCCTTGTCGGTTAGAATTGAATTTGGTATGCGATCGCCAAACATGTTTTGTTGCTGATTCGGGCCTGATTGCAAATATTTTGCCCCCGGTTTGCTTAGATGTTTGTGCCAAATTCGCTCATTAGAGGTTGGTTTTACGCGAGATTCTTCGTGTTTGAGTGCTTTTCAGGATTTAACAGGTGGAACCAGCCTCGGAGCCGAAGGATTGGCGAAAAGGATCGAAAATTGGGAGAAGAGGTGAAAAAATGCAAGTTCACGGTCGTGCAAGACTGTGAAGAAGGGGAGTTGACCGTGAAGCGCAAGGCGTCCAGAGCCAAGTTGAAGGTTACTAACGCAAGGCGTGTTCACGGTCACTAAGACCGTGAACACAAACAGTTGCCCGTGAACTGCCGTGATCGATGCGGAGCGTTTTGGCGCAAGGCGTGAGTTCACAGACGCGTTTGATGGTTCACGGCCGTGAAGTTAGCTCTTCTCGGGTTTAAAAGCTGAGCTGCAAAGAAGAGAAAGAGGAGAGCCACCTTTGTGAGAGAAACACTTCTTCTGCATTTTAGTGAAAGAAAGAGAACCAAAAGAGAAGAAGAGGTTAGGGCTTGGTTTCAAAGGAGGTTTTGGGAAGATTTCCCCAAGGAAATCCCAGCTCAAGGTTGAAGAAGAGAGGAGGCATCCCCAAAAGATGGTTTCCACCTTTTTCTCCTTTGTACTTCCCACTTATTCCATGGAGTAGTCCTCCTCCCACTTGGGTGTAATGAAACCCTGAACCCTACCATGTAGTTTTCTTGTATGTGGTTTGGATTATTGATATTGGGCATTGTTCAATTTAATGTTTGAGGTATTTTTCACCATGATTTTGCATGCTTGTGCTTAGCAACTTAGGGGTTGTGCATATTTTGTGCTTAGCATCCTAGGGATTGTGCATAATTGTGCTTAGCACCCCCTAAGTTTGTGCATTTAGGTGCTAGTAATCTAATTTGCCAACTTAGCCTAGTTTAGAGAGGAAAATCCCCCTTTTTAAGGGAGACTCAATCGAGTTGGTTTTCTTCCGCTTTCCAAGCCACCTAAACTAGGTTGAGTTAGGAAAATCCTCAATATTGAATTGAACAAGTCGATTAACCGTGGGTAAACCGTCCGACCTTAGATTTGAGTGAGGAAGTAAGCCGATTACCGATTGTCTAAACCAAGAGGGTTGAGTGACACGACCTTTCATCCTCACCTCGATTGAGAAATTGAGACTGTCGTCTCCGACCACATACGCTTTCCTCTTCGGTTCACAATTAACGTGCCCAAGAAAATCGTTCCAACCCACGTTGCATGGTAGCGGTTAAGGGGGAAGCGAAACCCAAGTGACTTTCCCACAAAAGAGTTTTGAAACCAAATTACTTTTGCTTTCTTTCAACCGATCCTACATCCTCCAGTGGCAGCAAACAATTCGGAGATCAAGCCGGCTCTAGTGACTATGATACAAAGCAATGCTCTCTTCCATGACCATGAGAGTGATTCACCAAGAGAGCATGTGCATAGATTCTTGGAGCTAGCGGGGAGCTTGAAGATTAATGGTGTGCCGGTCGAGGCTTCGCAACTAAGGGTTTTCCCTTATTCACTCTCGGGGAAGGCACTTAGGAGGCTAAACAACCGCCCACCTCGGTCCATCACCTCATGGGATGACCTCCTCAACAAGTTTATGGCTCGTTATTGCCCGCCTTCGAAGATGGCGAAGTGGAGAAAGAAGATTACACATTTCGAGCAAGAAGAGGACGAAACCTTGATGGATGCTTGGGTGAGGTACTCCGATTACTTTCTTTAATGCCCCCACCACGGGTTTGTGGAACAGTTTCGGATTGAAACCTTCTACGGAGGCCTAATGCAAGAAGATAAAATCCTCATCGACTCCTTATGTTAGGGGAAGTTGATGAATATGGCTCCGCCCCAAATTACCGAGATCCTAGAAGACATGGCCCTTAGGGGGTATGATTGGGGGTTGACTAGAAGTGGAATAAGAAGCAATGAAAGTGGAGTGAGAAGCGTGGGAGCGAGTGCTCCGCTTGAGGCAAAGTTGGATAAGTTACTTGAGGTTATGCTTGAAGATAAAAGGCAAGGAAAACGGGCGGTAATGTCGAGCGACTGGTGCTCGAGTACTAGCCACGAGATAGCGGAGTGCCAAGCAATGAAGGAGGCAACCACTCCGGAGGAGCAAGTAAACTTTGTGGCAAATTCTAGGGTCAACAACTCGTATAACTATACTTATAACCCCGGATGAAGGAACCACCCCAACTTTGCTTGGGCATCACTGGCTAATCCAAGGCCCCACGAGGAACTTCCAACCTTGGCCATCCTTCATCCAACAAAGGCCCCAACTCCAAGGCTCAAACTTTTAACCACCGTAGCAACCACAAGGTGCCATAGGTTTTCAACAACAACATCAACCCGACAAGTTATCCAAGTTTGAGGACCTAGTGAACACCTTTGTGAGTACGAGTAGTCAAAAGTTCGAGAAGATTGAGCAATTTATGGATGTGGCGATTACCAAGTTTACCTCGGTTGAGGCGGGTCTCCAAAGCCATCAAGTTGACCTTCAAAGCTTGGAGGTGAAAATCGGCAATCTTGCTGGTATCCTCACCGAGAGACTCAAGGAAGCTTTACCTTCCCAAACTGTGGTGAACCCCAAGGATCAAGCCGGGGTGAATGCACTTCAAGTGAGGAGTGTGAAGGTGGTTCCAGAGATAGCCACGGGAGAAGAAATAGAGAAGGAGGAGACCAACAAGGAAGAGACCACCTCAATAAGAAGAGAGAAGAAGCCGTCGAGGAATGCGAGGAAGGAGGCAAGCAAGGCATTGCCGGAGGATGGATATGTGCCACCTCTTCCTTATCCCACAAGGATGTACATGGAGAGGTTGGACAACGAGTATGGAGGGTTCATGGAAATGCTACGCAACCTCCACCTCAACGTCCCATTCCTCGAAGCACTGGCGCAAATGCCGAGATATGCCAAGTACTTCAAAGGATTCCTCCTCAAGAAGCCAAGGCTTGAAGGCCTCGCCAACGCAACTCTTGGCGAGGAGTGCCCGGCTTTCCTCCTCGACTGCTTTCCCAAGAAGCGGTCCAACCCAGGTATCTTTACTATCCCTCTTGATATTGGTGATCACCATATGGACAATGCCTTGGCGGACCTAGGAGCTAGTGTGAATGTGATGCCCTACAAACTTTTCGAAAGTTAGAAGTAGGTGAACTTAAGACCTCTAAGCTTAGCATCACCTTAGCTGACCGTTCGGTAATTAGCTCGAGAGGTATAGTGGAGGACATCATGGTGAGAGTGGGCAAGTTTTGCTATCCAACCGATTTCGTGATTCTCGACATAAGTGAGGACTCAGATATGTCCCTCATCCTCGGTTGTCCCTTTCTTGCTACCGCCAAGGCATTGATAAATGTTAATGAGGGAACCCTAATTTTGAGGGATGGTAAGGAGAGAATCAAGCTTGAAATTGATCCTAGGGTGAGGAGTGATGAAGTGAAGGGGGTAGTCTCAAAGGATGTGAATGAGAGTGGAGGAGAGCCTCCTAAGGCAAACCCCACCATTACTTGTGTTGTCTTTGATGATGTTGAGCTGGAAGTTAAGAAGGGTCCTAAGACAAAAGGACCAAGATTGAATGCTTAGAGAAGAAGGATGAAGGGAGCTTTGACCAGCAAGACGGGGGAGCCCGGAGCAAGGTTGGCCAACTCAATGAGCCTAAGATGGGAGGCTACAAGCCTCGCCCCGAGAGTGTGGTGGATCCGCTCTCGGTGGCATCATGTTTGAAGTCGTGATTGATCCCCAACCGTCAAGCTAATGAAGATAAACAAGCGCTTGTTGGGAGGCAACCAAAAGGAGGTTTGTTTTCTTTTCCTTAGTTTTCATTTTAGTGTCTTGTGAAGGGTTCAAGTGGTGAAGTGGTGTCCCTGTGCCGAGTGTTGTGATTTTGCGGTTTATGGTTGAGTTGCGATCAACTAGGAGGCACGGAGGAATAGGTTGAGTCAAATTTTTTGCAGAAGTGCCTTGTTTTCACTTGAGTTCACGGACGGATTGCTGAGTTCACGGTCGCTAAGACTGTGAATAGGCAAACGCGTTCGTGAATTAGGCGCTGATGCATATTCACCACCTGTCAACCACTCTGTGTTCAGGGACGCATTCGCAAGTTCACGGTCGCTAAGACCGTGAACTCATAGCTCTGCCTATAAAAGGAGCGTGAAAGGCGACCTTTCACTTCACGACCAAAAAATCGCCAGAAAATTTTGAATCTTCGCCGGAAAACACAAAATCCAATCGCTTTTTCAATTTTCCCCCCAAATCTGGCGAGCAAAACCAAAAAGCAACGTCATACCCAGTCCCC